AAATTCTAACACAAATGTAATCAAACTTGTTGGAGAATTTATACACAGCTCGTTCTTAATGAGAAACGAGAAAGATACTTAACAAAAACACTAAAATCTATCATTTATTATTTGCTATAGTTATTTTGTTATTTTGTTTTTTAATATCTTACTTTTGTTGCTATAAACTGATGGAAACACTGTATTTCTAAGGATGCAATAAATTATCTTTATTATTATGGGAAAGGCAGATAATGGAAATTGAAAATTTTAAGAACTTCGTTTGAGGAAGGCTTAACAATTGAGCGAAGGGGGTGAAATTCAGAAAAGTTGTATTGGAAGGCTGGACAGTTAAATCGGGGAAAATAAGGTTATTTTAAATTATTTTGAATATTTCTTATATTAAAAAAAATAATTGTCACAAGGGGCGCATTACATGGAAAGCACATTGCATAAAGATAGATAGTTAGCATACTGAATGTCTCCAGTGCCTTGTGTGTAACTTCCACGACATATTTATTCATCGCAGTCCGAAAACGTGGAATTATGAATTGGCCGCCGCGTTCACGTGCGTGCTTGCCCACTTCTATCTCGGACATGCCTGAGGTGATCACTTTCCCACGTACATCATCATAAATCATGGGATACATGAGCAAGTCATTTGTTTCACGGTCTGTTTCAAGATGACCGAATGGTGGCTATTATTATCCTTTAAATTGATCTAAATTAAAGCGGGAGGGTCGATCGTCACCTGCGCATACGCGGGAATTGAGTCTCAAGCGATGATAACAACACGAGTTAAAAACACAAAGGCTCATGGGTAGACGCTTGTTTGTAAACTGGGACACGCTATGGACATCTGACGCATGCGCAAGTGACGACTCCCCGGCTTTAAGCATTTCTGCCATTCTAAAAGTGGTTTTCGGTCGTGTATACATAGTATGCATTAAAACTTGGTACATATATTTGTCATAATAAGACCTAGAACAACTATATTTTGTTTTTTGGATCGGATTCTAAAAGGCCGACTGGTGGCCATTTTTGTTCAAATAAAGTAATATCTCTGACATGCGTTGACTGATATCACATTCCAACTTTATAGATGGAAAAAATCATGAGACATGTAACAAACCATGTGTCACATTATAATCCAGTATCCGTAATTAGTTACCTGCAGTGTATACCACTTCAGATGCTATTGTTTTAAACAAGGAGTTAGTTAGGGCTTAGGTTGAGAACAGGTCGCCCAGCTGTACTGTTATTATGCAAATTTCTTTGTTTCTGTTTCCTCGTGGTGAGCACTGAAAGCAAATTCAAGTTGGTCTCACCCAGAACACAGTCCTGGAAGGTTGTTCTCAGGCAACCACTTGCTGGGGTCTTGTGATGAGCCAAGTTCTGCTTTTTGTATGGGGCGCTAGGGAAGTGGCTATATCTCTAGTATAAGCCTGGGCCAGCTTTGGAGCCTATGTGTTCAGATTTTCTGGCAGGAACTGTACAAAAAGGACAGTAGCTTTAACCATAAACCTTAGAAAGAGAGGGACAGGCAACTGGATTATAAAACAAAGGATTTCACGACATTTCTTTCTAAGGTCTATGTTTAAGGCAACTATATTGTACATTCCAGTATTTGTCTATTCAAAGGCTAAGTAAAATCTGAAATCATTCTTCCTGTAATTTTCTCATACATTTTGCGCTAACAGTTTAATGTTTCATTAATGGGCAGAAAATCCTAGATTTGTAAACAGATTGTATTTAATCCCTTTTCCTTCTTGATCAATTAAAGTTATTCGTTCAATGTTATCTAACTCGTACGTGGTTTTGCGGTTTGATGGATGGATCGAATACTAGGCAATATAGTCAAAATTGTTGGCATCTCGTATGCATGACACCATGGTTTATTGAAACACTTAAATTTCCTCGGAAGGAATGGTTACACTAACTACTAGAACACTTGTTTAATTGAAACATTCAAATTCTAGAAAAATTACTAATGAAAAAATGTCAACACATATGCTCATTCAGCTCTTTTGTTGATTCAATTTAAGACCATCAAGCTCTGATAGCGGCCATTTTAATGTTAAAAATTCATCGAAATCAAGTATTTCTGCCCTCCTGGAACCAGATGTTGGTCATGTAGTGATGGATTTTGTACATGCATTGAAAATTATGGGACCTTGACGCACGTCATTGTTTTTTTTTGTTTTTTCAGATGAGGTTAAAAATAGCCAACTGGCGGCCATTTTGTTTGAATGAACAATGTTTCACGAAATGACTGACTTGACCAATCACGTTCAAACTTGATACATATACACAACATGAAACCTAGCAGACTTGGATATCTGTGTGGCAGACAATTACTTTTAACTTTACCAATTAATGGCAGTGGCTGTGTAGAATTATATCCATATACATGTACTTTCTAAACAGTGAGTGACAAACTTCAAATATGTTGTGGAGACTGTTAGTCTGACCTAATTAGACACCCATCTATTAATGCCACGCTTATATTTAAACTCTTCCTGTGAATTACCTGCTCGGTGTAATTGCTGACCACTAGTTTTTTTAGTATTTACTGCTTTGACCTTCGTCATTTCAAAGTCATGACTTTCTATGTCCTTGGCATGATGCTCTGACAGCTCAAATGCACAATGACAATCCAACAAACCTACTAGAGATAAGTCATCTACGCTTTGCTTTGTAGTCTTGACAACACAATTTGTGATTAATTTCCTCATCAACATCCTGAACACCATAATATTGGATTCATCATATTTCTTTACAGCACGTCAAAAGTCTAATTGTTATATTCCCCGATCTGACAAAGTTCAAGTTCTCCCTCCGCTACCAGTCAAAAACAAAAATCGATGATGTTGAGGGCATCTTTTGCCTAATAGCCGAAAATTGTAAAATTAGGGTTGAAATGATTGACCTGACTGTGAAAATAGGGATCTAAACAGTGGTGCATACCCTACAAGTCATCTAAGGGAGCACAGGGGCTTGTCAACTGATTGGTCCAGGTATAGAACTGCATTCATTCAAACAAGATGTCCACCAGTCAGTCATTTTGGATTTGATTATGACAAAAATGCATGTACATTTGTCAGATATGATGTCTGATGAAGTTTGAACTTGATCAGCCCAGGCATTTTAATATATGGGTCTGGAAGTGCATTCTTTGCAACAAAATGCATGGGCGGATTTAGAAGGGGGCAGAGGCCCCCCTATTTTAAACAACCAACAGGGCTTCGCGCCATTAGCACTCACAAATTTGGCCTTCGGCCAACTTATTGCCCTCCCTATTCCAAAATCCTAGATCCGCCCCTAAAATGTAGTAGTCGCCCAAGAAGGAAAACTTTAGACATATATGCATGGTGATACAGATGGAAGAAATCAATAGAGACCACACAAAACTACAAAAATTACTACAGCAAAAATTGTATTTATAATATGCTGGAACATTACCGGTAATATATGACATACTTACTTATTACTACCATGTATATTTATATATATTTATATATTTTTTATTAGACGCATAAAATCCTTAGGAAAGGATAAAAAGGGTCTTACAGAAAGAAATTAAAAAACTACAATCTAAAAAGGAAAACAAAAAATAAAATCTTTTCTAAAAATATAAAACAAATCAAAAACAATAAAGACAATTTGCAGCCAATGGTGAATACAGAATAAAGAATGAACACAAAATGTAGCCTAATACATGTACACTGATAGTTGTTGCTGTTTTGTTCCATAGCTGTTTTTTAAGAAGACAACTAAGGCTGGTGCTAGAGTATGGTTTGCCCTAATCAAAATGAATTTATTCTGACTATTTTCTTTATCAAAATTTGGAACTTTATTTTGTGCAGTCAGGAATAATTTGTCCCAATGGTGACTGTAAGCTGGACATTTCATTACAAAATGTTGCTCATCATCAATTATATCATGTGTTACTAATAGAGTAAATACAGCAAATTATAGTTATTGAGAGGTAGAATTAAGAACATGTTGGTTGAGGTTATACAAACAGTGGTTAGCATTGAAAAAAAAGAATAACACATTTAAAGCACGGCAGTCGTCGTGCCGCATCATGTTCGATGTGGGACTCATAGCGACGTATACAACGCGTGTAAAATGCATTGTTTATTTACATGAAATTCGAACACACGCTGCGCCACGACCACCGCGCTTTGAATTAACACAGCGCCTGCTTGCTCCGTTCATTTTGGTTACCTGTTGAGTCTTTCAGCAGGCAATGTATGAACATTAACATCAAGGTAGATTGAAAGTGACAATATCCTGTTCTAACAAAAACTTGAACATTTTTACACATTTCTGTAGATACATTTTTGTTGAATATATATATATATATATCTTATATCTAAAATCATATAGAAAAATATTACAGCACTAATTATATTACATATTTCTATATACCATATGAATTTATTTTTAATACATTTTAAAAGCTATCTTAAAAGCTACATGGAGTATATTAAATATTAATTACAAAAAAAGATTGATAAAGAACAGTATTTGAAATAATAAATTCTGGTTTTGTTACAGAAATTAATGTTAGTTTCGCATTATGTATGTTATATAAAAAAGATATATACAGACATCGATATAGTTAATATATCATTGTAAAAAGATCAATATTTTGTTTTGAAACACTATCCCAAATAAACATAGTTAAACTATGGTTACCTTGCACTTCACTGGGAAACTTTGTATAACGATTATTTTTGATTACTTAAAATGCCCATAAAAATAATTTTTCATTAAAAAAACAAACAATTTTTAAGTTCTGATAAAAAACAGAACAAATGACACATTTGGGCAATGAATATTTTTTTCTGGGTATTATATAATTGCTATTACTGTGGAATACTTTATTTTCGCTGGAATTAATTTTCGCTGAAAAAGCTTTTTTGGGCGGTGTGTATGGAATTTATTTTCACTGATTTTTGATGAGTTTAATGTGAAATATAGGAAAAAAAGTATATTCGCTGGATTTTATTTTCACGGAATCATCCTTTCAGCGAAAATAGCGAAAATAAATTCCAAGCGAAAATAAAGTATTCTATAGTATCTAAATACGATATTTTGATCTTGTTCCACGATACAATGCAATAACATCCATCATACAAGAATTCAGTACATAATACAGTGAGGATATTGTCCAAGACACAAAATCATAGCTATACAATATTTTAGCTGACCTTTTCTTTCCAGCTTTTAAAAAAATAAAAAATGTACGATAATAAGGTTACCGGGTATTAACAAAATACCAGAATTTAAGTTCTTGTACATCGTACACTTTGGCATTATTTGGTTTGTGTTTTCTTTGATCAGGTGGAAAAGTCAAGGGTCAAACAGAGTACAATAACTCAAGTACAATAACTCAAGTACAATAACTCAAGTACAATAACTCAAGTACAATAACTCAAGTACAATAACTCAAGTACAATAACAAACATTATTGTAGTGCACAGCGCCATAGGTTACAGAGCATATAATACGTATATAAACATAATAATTTCAATACAGTGTTTCAATCAAAACTATGTGACCTTTGATTTTACGAGGTTATCACCTGATATTATTTGTTTTGTAGACAGTTAAAACTTGAAATTTATGGCTGAAGCAAACTCCAACCAAATATACAAACACAAAGTAGATACATCATCCTAAAATGAAGAAAATCTGGGAGACACTTAGTGTTGCTTCAACATTGCTTCATTAGTGAATTATAGTCACACACAGGAAATGTATGCAGTGTTCACATATCAGTTGATGACTCAAGTTGAGTCCATCCGGGTTAATACTGTAATTAACTATAAACTTTTTACAAGGTGGGAAGTGCCATGTTGCGTGTAACATAACCCACTATGTATAACATGAGTGAGTTCATCTGTCTATGTCCCACTATGTATAACATGAGTGAGCTCATCTGTCTATGTTGGTTCCTTCATTATTATGGGTCCTTTGGGTTTGCCATGTTATCATGAGTTACATAACCCATTAAGACAACAGGTTGAGTTGGTAATCCTGCATCTGGCATGTCATTGTGAGCTACATGACTCACTGACACAACAGATTGAGTTGGTAATCCTGCATCTGGCATGTCATTGTGAGCTACATGACTCGCTGACACAACAGATTGAGTTGGTAATCCTGCATCTGGCATGTCATTGTGAGCTACGTAACTCGCTGACACAACAGGTTGAGTTTGATGATTAGACACATTCAATGAATCATTTGGCACATATCCTTGGTCTTCTAGTTTTGGCAATCCTTCATGCATATCACCGACATCAATGCTGCTGAGTTTACAATAATCAGAATTAAAACAGTCAGTTGCCATGCAAGAATTACCCGGGCTATTATGAGTCACATACCCTGGTGATACGTTTACTGCAGCCTGCTGATTGAGTGCAGATACTTCACAATATGGTGTGATCTCAGACAGTTCTTGCTCTGTGCTTTCTTTCAGGCTGGTTTGACTGGCAGTTTCCATCTGCAGCGGAGTTTTGCCACTCTGTTTAAAGCCTACCAATGGGTTAAAAAGTGTCACACCATGGACGCTCATGACAGTCACATCTGGGACTTGTCCATTCATTATTTCACTGAAATTTTCGGGCCTACTGATCAGCTTTTTCTGTATGCTAGGCGACGTTGTTCTATCCGGGGCAAGTTTACTATAGTCACATGGAAGTGGTGAGAGTTGTCCAGAAGGACTCATCCATTGATAATCGATTCCTGAATCTGCTGAAAATGGCGGTGAAGTTTGTCCGAAGAAGGTAACTGGCACCAGTACACCATCAGGACTCATCTGGCTGTAGTTCAATTGTGTACTCTGACCCATACCAGAGTCATACATACCTTCTTCTGCAACTCTTGCATCAAATGCTGGAAATCTTGAGTGCGAAGGTGAGAGTTCCCAAGCTCCTGGTGAATTAATAATTGGAATATACTGATGAGTCACCTTATTAGGCATATCTACTTTTTGTTTTAAATCTTTATTTTTTGGAGGGTGGTAATCTTGGGTCTTGACAGTGAACACTTCATCATCACAGCTATTTATCAAGCGACTATCAGAGTTCTGGGATGCATCACTATAACCTCCACTACTCTGTCGAGCAAATCGAGATCTTCCATTCACATGATCCATGCTACTATCATCTTGTGTGAAATCTTTCATTCCACCTTTGGGTAAGTCATACACTTCATAGACTTCATTCTCATCGATATGACCGTTGGGACCAGCATGCATCTATAAGAAAAAAAAAATTATTTTGACACATATGATCACCAACAACTAGCATGTATTATGAGTTGATCAAATTAGATACATTACAAAATTAGGCAAATTTACATCAAGATATATCAGACATATGCCTCAGGAGCAGCATTCGTTAAAACAAAACGGACGCCAGTCAGCATTTTGAACTCTAAAACAAGCCATGCATGGCACAGTCCCTGTTAGTTTAAGGGAAAAATTTAAGATACCGTATTTGTCTTCAGTTAAGCGCCACCTTCAATTAGGCGCCTGTGCCACAAAAACTTTGTATTTTACACCTCAATTAAGCGCCAGACAAAGTTGAAATTTTGGCACGTAATGATCATGAATTGGGCGCCGACGGATCGACTACCGGTTACCGGTTAGTAGCGATAGACGCGATCGCGGAAGTCCCTCACTATTACTGTACAAATGGTTTTGTTTCTAACAAATTTTAAGAAATCGGTCTATAATCTCTTGAAACATGTCTCTTTAAGTCTACTGTAGAAAATATCCGCGTGGTTTTTAATTTCGCAGTAAGTCCATAAAAACAAAATTAAAACGCGAAAATGTTCTGTTTCAAATGCGCTGTTGTCACAGTAAACTGATTTTGCTACCGTGATCATTGACTACTAAGCGATGCATTTGTGTTTGTTTTATTTTTCTGTTGATCGTACGGCAAACTGAATGTTTTCTAAAGGATGATAATTTTTGTATAACTTTCTAGACTGTCTGAAAACGGGTCATTTACTCAGTATTTAAAATAAAGGCTACAGTGACTAAGTGTCAGACTGTAATGTAAAATATTGCCAATAATCTATCATCAGAATGGAGCAAAAACAATGGCTTTTAACACAGTTACCGGTACTAGAACTTGAAGTGCTTGAAATAAGCGCCATTTGAAACAAAGTTGCTCAAATTTAACCACAAATAAGCGCCACCATGAAATGAAAGTGTAACAAAGTGGCGCCTAATTAAAGACAAATACGGTATATAGTTTTGTTTATAGTATATAGCTGGAATATAAGCATGTCAGGTAATGATTATGATGATTGTTTAACATTAAAATGATTGACATTTGTATCTGATAATCAAATGAGCACTTGTCCATATTGAGAGATATTGCTCTGGAACAGCATTAATCAAAACAAAATCATCCATTTTGAATACATGTATACATCTATAACATGATGTATAATGAATATGTGAAATTTTAACATAATTAGTCAAAGCATGTCAGAGATACGGCACTAGAACCACATTCATTAAAACAAAATGGCCGCCAGTCAGCCATTTTAAATCCGATCTGAAAAATAAAATGACATGCATCAGGAACCCATAATGTCTAATGTATGTTATAAGTTTGCACGAAATCCATTCATAAATCCCAGAAATGCTTGATATTTGATGATTTTTTAGCACAAAAGTAGTCACAATTCGGCCATTTTGAATAGGATCGTCAAACCAATATATCTGTATATCTATGACATGATGTATAATGAATATTTATAATTTGAACGTAATCAGCCAAAGCAAGTCAGATACTATATGGCACGAGAACCACATTCATTAAAACAAAATGGCCGCCATTTGGCCATTTTGAATCTTATCTGAAAAACAAAATGATTTGCTAAGTTTGAACAAAATCCATCTGTAAACAGCCGAAAAATACTTGATTTTGATGATTTTTCAGTACAAAAATGGCCGCCATTCGGCCATCTTGAATCAGATCGTGCATATGTATAATATCATGTATGATGTATGTGTGAAGTTTGATTGTGATTGGTCCAGGCATTTCTAAGATACAGGTCCGGACGCACGCATGCACGGACACACGGAGGTCAAAACATAAGTCCTCGTTTCGGATTGCGTCCGAATGGGGACAAATAAAGATAATCATTTAAACAAAAAGATTAGAGAGATGTAAGTTGTTTTATTTATCACTTTTTACCAAAAATTCCAAAAATATTCACCAAAATTAGAAAATTAAATATATCATTACAAAATGAACAAATCTGAGAGAGGTCCACATGTAGTACCTATATATGTAATATCAAAGCAATTGGACTTGCGGTTTTTAACAAGAAGTTGAAAATATCACTTTTTACCAAAAATGACAAAAATATTCACCAAAATTAGAGAATTGAAGATATCATCATGAAATGAACAAATCTAAGAGAGGTCTACCCAAGGTACATATACACCAAGTATCAAAGCATTCAGGCTTGTAGTTTTCAAGGAGAAGTCGAAAAAGTAAAACATTGACACGGACGACGACGGACAAAGGACGCTGGACGACGACGGACAATCACTCATATGATAAGCTCCGCTCGACAAAGTCGACAGCGGAGCTAATTAAAAAGAGTTCCAATTTATGGTAAATGTTTGAAATTACTGGCCGCCTGTACACCCAGCCAGAGAAAATCACAAAATGTCTATATAGATGTATGATTGTTGTCAAAATCCGACCTTTCCAGAGCTGGAGTTGATATATTGTTCTGTTCAGTGTTTTTACACTGTATTTTGAAAATGTTGAGTCAGTTTTTCGGAATTGAGCCACCAGCCTCCAGCAATTGAGCTTATGATAAAACTAAAAGAATACGGAAAATTGTCCCATCGTGGAAAACTAAATCCAAGTGGATAGGCAGACATTGTATTGTAAAAGTATTTCTGACTTGAATGAAAGACTCTGCAGTGTCACTGATTGAATGAAATGTAGTGATTAAAATTAAATACAATATTGAAAAAATAAACAAGGCCGACTGGTAAATTTTTAGCAGGGCAAGAAAGCTTTTAAAGTTATCTGCCCTGTTGTCTGGTAAACCATTTTGACAAATTTCAAACACTGCAATGATCACTATGAACATTTACAAGTGTATGAAAGTAATTTTACAATATAGAATTTAATATACATTTAAGTATATACGCCTATACACAAAAGATTTTAAATGAACAATATTACGTTATGAATTCCTCTGTGACAATGACGACAGAAACCTTGCTCACTATCCATGATACAAGGATGTTAACTTACCCAGTTTTCATCTAGGTTCACTTTCGGTATCGGTTTCGATATTTCAGATTTCTTGTACTTATTCCTACTATACCAGCAGAGACATATTATAATTATGATGGAGACGGCTACCCCCAATGTAACTCCTATTGTTCCTCCAACATCTGGAAAATAACACAGTAGAAAAACAGTCTTGATTAAAAAGTTATGAAACCAGAAAATAAACAATGATAATATAAAGTAAGTTTTGACGTGACATTTTACTATAGTTTATATACAAGAAATTATCTAGGATTTGTTTTTTTGGTTTGTTAAAAACAATTAGAAAGTATCAAGTGTAGTCCTCAGGATTACAAATTTTTCTTAGATGTGGTTCTCCCGGGACAGGATTTTTTGACATCCCCAAGAAATAATTGGTTGGCTCAAAGTATTTAAAAATATTCCAAAAACGTTATTTCCTCACAACTCGTGTTCCAAACCACCAACATATTCTAGTATAGAATGCTTATGGTACTGTTGACACTAAGATTTGCTCAAGGGAAGTCCCCGCCGAGTGCTTTGTCTCAAATGATTGGTTAAAGTAATCGTGTGAAAGGTCAAATTTTGTGAATGTTCGTATTTCAGCATCATTCAGTTTTGTCGGTGGCTATACTTTATGACGAAGGATGGTCTTCACTTTGATCTCATGTGTATGAAAATTTAGTAGTCATTTGGAGCATTTTTGTGTTTCTCCATGTAGAATTATATTTATTGGATTAACTCATGGTGAAGGTGAAATATTTTAAAATCAGCCTATTTAACAAAAAAACAATTTTCGGGACAGGCTTCATCACATTTACAGCCCTGTTCAAAAAAAGTTATTTCTAAAACATTTTAAATTGCAAGCAGCAAAGAAAGATGAAGAACTTTTCTGATGTATGCCCTCATGACATTAAGACCGGCAAGGATACATTGAATTTGGATGATTCAGATTTCTAAGAATTCAATTTTAACTGTACCACCTGGAGAGAGCTAAATTAGCATTTATATTGGAAAGAAGCCAAAAAGTGTCTTTGATGGAATGAAAAGATGCATGTGGGCAATGGAAATAACACCACTCTCTCATAATTCATTGGTGACTTAATTTAAGGTTGGGGAAGTTTTTTTTTTTTGCTTTTGTGAAGTATTCAAGCATATTTTGTCCAGTACATAAAGGTCTACACAGATTACAGACTAAAATAACAAGAATTTAGATAATTGCGGTTGTTCCAAAATGTTGATGACAGACCAATTTTGTTTCTGAAAAAGTTTCGAAAAAACAGGTATAAAACTTGTAAAAAACAAAATGATCTCCATTCAGCCATTTTGAATCAAATCATATGACAACAGGCCATGAGTGAGGTCAATGCCAAGTTTAAAAGAAAACAGCCCAGCCATGCTTGTTTGGTGTTTTTGAACAAAAATGACTGTCAGTTTGGTCAAAGGTCATCAAAACGAAAAACAAATCAACGTGCATAGGTATATCATTATGACTTGTCATTGTACCTACCGGTACTTTGTATCAGAAATGACAGGGACTAAGCAAAACAAATGTAAATTCAAATTGAAAATTTATTAAAAAACTTAAATAAACTAAAAGTTACTTTTACTGTTTTTGTTTTTAGTTGTGGTTATAAAAAATACAATAGAACAAATTTCAGTAAGCAAAAAAAAAACTACATAAAATAGATATCTATGTATATATCAAATTACAGTAATAAAATTTTAATTAATTAGTGTAATGGAAAAGATCAATTAAATAAAAGGGTAACAAATAATGAAGTAATTGAATATTAATATAATGAAATGAGGGAAAGGGCAGCATTTCATCCATAATTGTTGTCATGTGATGTCACCTGATAGTCATGCAACGCTGCATACTTTGCAGCCTTATAGTCTCATATTAAACCTCTCAACAAATTACAGAATAAGCTATCTTCCATTCACTGCAAGGTGTGGCATTATTCATGAAATCAGACATAACAAATTACAGAATAAACTATCTTCCATTCACTGCAAGGTGTGGCATTATTCATGAAATCAGACACAACAAATTACAGAATAAACTATCTTCTATTCACTGCAAGGTGTGGCATTATTCATAAAATCAGACACAACAAATTACAGAATAAGCTATCTTCCATTCACTGCAAGGTGTCATAGCATCCTAGTGGCGTTAAAACAATGTCCAGTATTCGACAAATTTTTAACACACAACTATTTGCGAGGGTTCCATGTCTAATAATGTGCTATCACGGTTAGTAACCGTGGTGCTATACATATTGGATCATTAAATTTGATGAAATAAGTTTATCCCAATGTCATATCTTCCATTCTCAAAACTTGGCACTTCAACATTATAAAAAAAA